GGGGGGGTTGCGTGTGTGGGTGCGTGTGTGGGTGCGTGTGTGGGTGCGTGTGTGGGTGTGTGTGGGTGCGTGTGTGTGTGTGTGTGTGTGCGCTTTAGATTTTCCCCACAACAGCCCCAATTCCACCCAGGTGAATAGATTCAGAATCAAAGCAGTCTTTGTCCTATTGCAGACAACGAGAGCATTTGAGATGTCCAACATATTAAAGCAATTTTATAATAGACAGTTTTTTGGTTGTCCTTTGGGTACCCCTTTCATTGTTCTTGCCGCTCCCCTTTTACTGTGCCTCTTACGCACAAGGCTGCCCACGTTGATTGTGGTTGAGCGGCAGCTGCCCACATCCCCGTGTGCCTTCACGGCCCACTTGCACGTTATTTCAGGAGGCAGAGTAAAAGGGAAGGTATGCTCCTGTGCATCTCTTCAGAGCCTCATACTCCTGTTCATTTCACTTCAGATCTTCAGCTTATACAGTCTTTGTGTCCGTCCTTCATCTTCATACTTCCGTTCATTTCATTTCTGATCTTCACATCATCTATTCTCTTAATGATGCTCATTCGTACGTATTTGCTAGTAGTATAAAGGGAGTGGAGGGGAGGTGGAGAGTAAGGGATAGAAGGCGGAGTTCTCTAGGAGTATGGGGCAGGGGAGGTAGGGGCAACAGGAAGGAAAGAAATATGTGGAGGGCGCGTGTGTAAACCCTCCCTTTTCAATCTCATGTGATATTGCTTGTTGTCCCCATCTCCTAGGTGGGGCTGTGTACCGGAAAATAAAATCGACTTCTTGTTCTTTCTGATCCAATCACCAAATGTCTCAGACTACATTCCTAATCCCTCTCTCTTGCGCAGGTCAGATTCAGCCAGCCTGATAAATCCAGCACAAAAGAAAAAGAAGTTTAAAGAACACAGTAAAACATGCTGATGCAGAACTGAAGGGCACAGAACTATCCATCCACGAGAGCTCGTTGAAGGGATTTCAATCATTTCATGCTTTCTTCCCTGATTCCCAGGTCAGGTTCCAGAAGTCCCAAGGTCTCGCGTTCCATTTATCATAGTCCAACCAGTACGCCTTTAGGTTGAAACGGCGCCGTAGGGTCCAGTCACCTGCAGTAGGCTCCAGCAGGTTGTAGGAAGGCGCCGTAGGGTCCAGTCACCTGCAGTAGGCCTTTAGGTTGAAACGGCGCCGTAGGGTCCAGTCACCTGCAGTAGGCTCCAGCAGGTCGTAGGACGGCGAGTCCCGGACAGAAAAAGTCTCGGTCCCAAAAGTAGGAGCAGCATCCAATGGAAGTCGGGAAACGTCACATTCGGTAGCAACAAAACAATTTTGCAGCCTACAGGCCAGGGACCGTTAGCGGTCCGAAGAAATCCAACTCTGTCAATTGCAGGCACAGTACGTAAGGCTGCTACAGTGTCAATTTAAAAAAGTGAATGGCTGTGGAAGCAAGCACTGTTGTTGTATCCGTGTGTGGATGACTTTGAGTGAGGCTCGAGTGTGGCACGGTAGAGCAGTCAACAGCAGAGGGCACCATAGCTAGGACCTTCAGTTGAGGACGCAGAGAGAGTGAGGTTGAGACATCCAGAGAGGGAGAGAGAGACAAGAGACGAGAGTGAGGGAGAGAAAGAGAGAGAGGAACCTACCTGTGACGAGACGACAGCAGCCATAGCTGCCAGGTGTGTGCAAGTGAGAACTGCTACAATTAAATTTTAATAATAATTTCGAGTTCTCATCTGGTTTTGATCGTGTTGTTGGTCTGTCCGAGTGAGTCGGTGTATTTCTGAGTTGCGAGTATGCATGGTCTTGAATTCGATGTGAATTTAAGTGGGATCATTGCATCGTCCATCCACTCACCAAATAGTCTCCATCGTTTTGGTTCCGCATCCATGCGAGCCCCATTACTACTCCCAATCAGCTTTCCTACGTGTTGCATCCCATCTTTCAATACCTGCACAAAACAAGGTACAGAATGATTTACTTGTTGCAACAACCTTTCTGCCTTCACTGACGACTGGCCAGAGGTAATCGGATGATGAGCTAGGTAGCACCACAATACATCCAGCCCGATTTCTGGGGTGCTGATGATCCCTGCTGATCCAGCAGAACAAGGTATAGGGATGCCGGTCTGGAAAGCAGCCTGCTGCTGAAGGACACACACACAGACAGACCAGCAGCGGACCTCTTTCCCAACCTCTCTGAGTACGGACCTGCCTGGACTCACAACAACTGTCCGGATCAGACCCTCCGGCTGGACATCTGGCCTTGCCACCGGTATGATGAGCCAATCATCAGGCAATCAACATGCACATGAGCATAGACGAGGAAAGGAGCCGCAAATCCCGAGAGTGGCAACAATAGCAGGATTTAGAAGAAAGGGCAGATCCGAACGGTGCTGTGCATTTAGTACATCAGCTGATGTGTTTTGATGGCCTGGAGAGGTACAGAGGTCATCTTTACTATGAATGGATGTTTGAGAGGTCGAAGGAATAGCATGAAGCTATCCAGTTTTGTACCCAGATTCAAGCTTCAAGAGGAAGGGCATAACACCAGCAGAGATTGGTCCTGAGAACCGGAAACAGAAAGGAAAAAAGACAGACACTGTTCTTCTGCAACACACATTCCTCAGTTACACCTTGCAACTGACTTGCTATAAGTACTTTTGGAGAAAACAAAGTGGACTGTGCTTGACATACATACATCATCTCCGCCTCATCTTTCCACGTTGAGCAAATCCAAGGGCGTCATGAAGGAAGGATCACAGGTTTTGATCACATGAATGCAGACAACTTCAGTATGAGAGACTTGAAGGAAATGAGGAAGGAAGGAAGGTAGGGAAGGGAGAAGCATGGAATTGTATTGTCAAGGACCGCAGAAGGCAGAGAAATGTTGCAACGAGAGAGGGGAAGATGGAAAGGGGGAAAAGGAAGAGAAGATGGAGCAGGAAAGAACAGTGACCATAGTCGAAGCAGGTTAGCAAGAACAGAGCCAGGCGGGGGGCAGGATGTAGCTTAGCATGGGTTGAGAGAGAGAGAGAGAGAGAGAGAGAGAGAGAGAGAGAGAGGGGGGGCGGGGGGGGGGGGGGGGGGGGGGGGGGGGGGGAGACAGAGCAGGCGGAGTGGGAAGAGCAGGGAGAGTGCCAACGTAGGGGTTAAGGAAAAACAGAGCTGCACAAGGATGATAAATCTGGCTTATTAATTCAGAAAACGAAAAACGGCCACAAGATTAACAGAGACAGGTATGTGTAAGAGTCTAAGAGGAGACCTCAAGCACACACACAAAAAGAGCAGCACTGTACCACCGGTATCTCAAAAGTCACTCACAAAAATCTCCCAGAAGGGTAAGAAGATTCAGTCATAAGTCTATGTTTTTCCTCCCACCTTCTCATCCCCCTCGCCACCCGTCTCGCAAGAAGGAAAAAACAAAACTCTTCATGAAGGGCAACATAATAACATTCATTATCAGTTTGTTGTGTAAGAGGCCAGAACCAAAGATTCTGCCGAGACTAAGTGATGATGTGCTGCGCGTGATATCCTCAAGCCCAACATTTGAGATGAAATCCATTCGGAAAGGAGAACATGCATCATCTTACCCAGCTGACAATCGTAGCTTGGGCTGGTGTTGGCCTCAACCCTGCCGCCAGTAGTAGAGACTGCCAAAGGCACACAATGTAACATACAGCAACATATCAAGGCGGCTGATGTGTGACAAGAATGTGACTATTAGAACCTGTTGGTGACAACAACGCAACAATTGGAGTCTGTGAGACAATCACGGTTGTAGGGCAGTGATCATGTGACACTAACAAAGGATGAACAGAATGATACAATATGATGTGATGATGCATGATATGACAGCACGAATATGCATGGAAACAATGAAGTGCATGGCACCGTCCTGATTCTAGATGACAATGCAAACCAGGACTACGATCTGGACAACCGAATCGCCATACAGAGGGCCCAGCTCATGATGTCCAGGTCTGGTGTTTTTTTTGGAACAAGCCCCCCCCCCCCCCCACCCCCACCCCCCCTCTTGGAATTTTTTTCTTAAATGGGAGGCAACCTGGGACGGTAGTTCAAGTCCTAGGCGGGCCCAGAAAAATGTTGAACTGACTTTTTGGGCCTGGTAGAGCAACCAAAACCGGCCCAGATTGGGGAGGACCATGGTGTTTTGGGAAATCCCAAAAATGAGAAAGAAAGCAGGAAACGGAAGGAACCTGCCCGTGAGAATCTCGGTTCATGACCAACACAAACTCGCTTGACCAGGGTGAATGCGACAACCAGACTGAAAGCAGATGTGAAAAGGCCAAGATCACACCACTACAAGAACACACAATGCTGACGTCGAATTGATTATGAAAGCCCTTTTCTCGACGCCAAACAATCAATAGAGCACCGTAACAGGTCTTGACTTGCCGCTGGCGTCTCTAGCCAGAAGCTACGACCACCTATCTAGTCCACATACCACTTGCAAGACCTACTCCTTCCCATCCTAAAAACATTTGAAACCCGTTTGGAAAAGTGAAGCAGCCGAAAGAGACCAGTTTTTTGGTATCCCACCTCCCATTGTGCCCTAATGTAGTTTTCTATTGTGATCTGTGAATGTTGTTAGCTAACCTAGACACTATAGGCCTACTTAGAACCTGCATCTTCTCACTAAGATGCAGTTCCATCACACATGGTCAACTAAAGTAACTCCGAGCCGATCCTGTATGCCTGGCTGTCAATGCCTCAGCAGTCTTCACCACCTCTTCCAAAACATAAAAGCCTTGTCAGCCATGGTCCTAAGGGTCTGCAACCCCTTGCGCTTGCAGCCCAAGAGGGTTGCTAATCTTTAGGGAAGCGCAGCAAGCGCTGTCACTAAATGATGCACGGTGGGCTTTTGACCCAGCTCCAGATTTAGGTCTGCAGCAGGCGATGAAATTCCTGCATAAGATCACCAGCTGTTTCCCTGAACAGCTGCTGTGAAAGTTCGATTGGTCGGTCATCTACCCTGTCCTCACACTTGACCGGCAGGTATCGGCCAAGCAACCTGTTGAAGAATTCCAAAGAGAATTCTGCACATAATCTTCCAACTCGCCAACTGAGGAAGTTTCCAAGTTGGCCAAGGACTTGGCCGCCGCCGCTGTTTTACCAACGACGAGCTGGAGCTACACGATGTTGTCCGTTAGTCCATAACAAGAAGTCTGACGCTTCACCTTCTCCAGCCAGACTTCAACATCATCCGTAAGCAGTCCACTGAAAGCTTCTAAGGATCTAATCTTCGGCCTTTGTTAGAGAAAGTTGTGTGGTGGACAGAATTTCACAGGCTCCCACGAAAAACGACTCTAGCAAAGAATTGGCTTTCAACATAATACTTTGTTGTCAGGTAAGGTAGAAAGAATTGAATACGATCAAAATCATTCATCTAGGATTCCCTAGTATGCTGGTACTCTGGATCTATCCAACCCCGCATCACTCTGCACTCTGCCTCCCCAAGTCATATCAATACAGTGCTCTTGTAAATTATGGCCTTCTTGATTCGCTCCTGCATGCCAGGAGGAAGGCCTGCCAAAGTCTGCTGCAGCTGAGGGGAGGCCTGCAGTGCCTTCCGGGTGTCACCCAACACAGCTATCTGTTGTAATGGATGCTTGGACATGGCATGAATTGACTTCTTCATCCTGTCCATATCCACAGCATGTAGGCATGTTCCCAACATCAGCGCTCTTGCCATCCCCAACCTTCTTACGGTCACCAATGCCCTTCTTCTGCAACTCTTCATCCTGAGATGCCCTGATCCTGGCATCCAAATCCACTTGGTTGCTTTATAGCTGCGCCTCCCAATCCTGCTTCCAGTTCCAAGCACAGTGGCTGAGGGCTTCCCTGATGTCGGCATTTCTGTATCGGTTCAACCTGACTTTCCTTTCCTTGAAAGCGGTGGTAGCTTGTCGTATGTACGGTCTGTTCCTCGCCTTTAAGCAAGTCATCAGATTGCCCATAAGCTTAGTTGCTGCTCGCCAATTTTTACCTCAACATGGCGGCGGTAGCTTCTTGTAGATTTACGGTGTGTCCCTAGCCTGTACGTGTGTAATCGAATTACCCATACACGTAGTTGCTGCTCACAACCTTTTATCCCAACGTCAACTTTCCCTTCACCAGGCACCTATTCCTTTGCCCCTTATACTTAGTTGCTGCTCGCCATCTTTTACCCCAACGTCAACCTTGCCTTCAGAAAACGGTCACAACCAGACATGACGCAAGATAAATATTTGATAGGAGGGGAGATGGTGTGCTCATGTGGTACTTGATGATGTGGCGCACTCTTGCTGACACGGTGGGCAATCAGGCCCAGCACGAGTCTGAAGTCGAGACTGTCACCTACTCTTATACCGCTGCTATAATTTTCCAGTGAGTCGAGACTGTCACCTACTCTTATACCGCTGCTATAATTTTCCAGTGTAATGACCCGCCAAAACACAGACTGAGAACACTGCTGATTTCTGAGTTTTGCCGCTGGAATGAATGCCGTGCTGAGATTCCCGCGTTCTGCTGAGTTTTCTAAGTCTGTGTGTGTGTGTGTGTGTGCTTGCTGGTTCGTGTCCCTGCCTGAGTGCTTGTCGGTCTGAGTGTGTGTGTGGCGCGCCAGGGCACTTGTTTGCTTGGTACTTACCTGTGGCCGTAACTTTGAGGGTTGCAGCGGGGAAAACACTCAAGAAGTGGGAGTAGACCCGTGGCACTTGAAGCGGTGGGGAAAAACACTCGAGTAGCAAGTACGCCGGTACCGCTCAAGTAGCGGTAGATGTGTCAGGAACTGGAGGCCGAGCAAAAGAAGATGAAAATTTGGCATTTTTAGAGGCCCAGTAGCTGGTAGGCTACGTCTAGGTGTGTACCAGTCCAAGTAGCCTAGGGCCTGTTCGGATGATATCAGAGCCTGCAATGATGCTTCCCTCCGAAAGGGAGGAGGTACCAGTTGCTTGGAGGCCGCGTGGTCTGGAAGTCACCACCCAAGAGGCAGGTAGGCCGCTGGGCTCTACCTCATTTGCGGTATGCAAGGTTGGGCGTCATGCTGCTTGAGCGGGCGCTAGCATTCAGAGTGCAGCTGGAGGAAAAGCGCTGGGCAGTCCAGCACTGGGAGGAGGAAGAAGGCCGGGAGCTTCCACCTCGGCTATGGTGGATCTCCACCAGGAGGAGGAGGAGGAAGAAGGGGACTAGGGAGGAGAGTGGCGAGGTACTTACCTGGCTATGGTGGACGCCATCTTCATCACCTTGTTAGGCGCTGCATCTGGAAAGCCCCAGTGGGGTTGCGCCGCACCAATAAGGCTTCAAGGCAGAGCCAGGCATGGAGGCCTGAACAGCAGCGGACATACCTGCATTGCGTTGTCTTTTGCACAGCAGGGCCAGGCCCTTAGTAGTCCGCCATAGCCTCGGCCTGATTGAAGAGGAAGAAGAAGGAGGTCATGGCTATGGTGGGCCTCTAGTTAAGCCAAGCAGTAGAAGTGGGATTCAGACTTTGATTCTGGTTCAGCCATTCATCATTATTACTATTATTTATTGTTTGAATAAGAGTGCAGACGATAAGGAGGTGGAGTTGGTTGGCGAGAGATCATGCTTGATTGCAAACTTCACACAAATGTTTTTTTGGAAAGGACAAGGGCCTTAAGGTATCATCATTGAACCGACCACCCCCAGGCAATTCAGAATTATTTTATTTTGTTCAGCTGATATCTGGATTCAAACTTGTGTCTGTATTTCAACGGTCTGTGAGTACCAACAGAGCTACACTCGTCAGTCTTGACAAAAAAAAATGGAATTCAACACATTTGCATCAAAGATTCAAAACAGTTGATGGAACCAGGAAAAACTGGCCCCCTCAGCAACATCCAACAATCAGCTAAAGAAACAATCCAGTAATAAGCAAGATAACATACTGGCTACGGCTACGCCCTCTCTGTCCTTTCACTAGCACTCAAAGCGCTCTTCCAGTTTCACCGAGCAGCAAACACTTGACGAATGAATTCAGCATGAGTGTCATCAGAACAGTGGCCATGCTCTTGGCTTTTGATCAGACACTACTTGTCCAGGGCATTCTGGGTCTGCCACCGGAAAACCCTGCCACTACCAGTTCAAAAGGTCCAAAACTTCCACTGGCAATGGTGGGATTACCGAGCACCCTGAGTCCAAAACTCACCAGCTTCAAAACTGAAAAGTAAAACAAACTATATTTAGTATTTACTATTTAGTATTTACCTTGCCTTGCTTGGGTCCCAGGTTCAGATCCTGGCAATAACAAAAACGGCAAACAGCTTGCAATATTTGGGCAGGTTGCGGGTTCAAATCCTGCTACCCCCGACAATAGAAAGGAAACACTTAAGTGGAAACAAAAAAGAAAACATACAGCACCAGCGGAGGGGGGAGGAGGAGGAGGAGGAAAAATGCAATGTACGACTTCACACAATTCATGCATGCCCATGCCCCAGCTGCACTACTGCCACACCATTCGACATCAAGCCTCTCCCACCATCCCTTTTCTTTTTCTGATCGTCTTTCCTTGCTTGCTCTCTCTCAATGTCGAGGAAGAGTGGACTCTCTTGCTCAAAGTTTGCGGAAGAACCTATTTACCTGAGTTGAAATGACGGAGATGGCCGCATTAGCACATTCTTGCAAAGTATGCCAACATGTGTATGCTAGAAACCCTGGCGAGACGCTGCATGTTTTCAGGGACATGGGGAATCCAGAGCCAAAACAGTTATCAGCCCAACATCCACACCTTTTCCTCTTTTTAAAGACTTAACCTTACTGTATGCCCCATGTTTCTGAATCAATTGAGCAACAGTCCCTGCAGCCCAAACGAATTTGGCACCTTGGCCTGGATTGCATTCAACATTATGAATCAAAGTACCCAGCCCATAAGGGTCATGCAGACTTGGCGTCAAACAGGACTGGAACTCTTGATCTGTTCATCAACAGTCACGTGTGTGTACTTCCATTCAGCCACCACGCACGTACTGGTCCAGCACACTTAAAGTTGAAACAGTTCAGCACAAAAAGAACACAGCGCCAACAAATTTGCGACCATCCAGGCCTTCAGCAACCTGAACAAGTAAGTGATCACACAACCCAAAGGTGCAGTGTGAGAGTTTAATCAGCTTCATGCGGTTGCGGTCGTTGCCAGGAAGTTCACAATGGGTCGGGAAACACAGAAAAAGCTTAACCCTTAGTGCAGATGCGATAAAATTCCTTCGTTGACTTGAAAAACAAAAGCCCAGATTATCATGGAAACAAGGTGCATGGTGTTTACTCACCCAAGAACCAGTCCTGGCCAGAGCCCACCAGTTCCCCCATCGACTACACAAGACTAGACTCCCCGATAATCAATAATGCTGAGCATTGCTGACACCAAAACCAAAATTTTCGACACATTTATCCTCTATAAGGTTCACGTAATGGGGTTATGACCGAAGTCAATCTTCCTACCAAAAGCCCTAATACATGACTTGGATTTCGAGTCCACTCGAATGGGTATGGAAATCTGAGGCAGAGAGCAAGGGTTAAGAGCAAGGACAACAACCCGACCCCAATTATCTGAATACACAATTAAGTTTGGCTACAAGTTACTACTAAAAGCCAAATATCCTAAGCCAGCAATTAATAGGAGATGGACAGCACTGATAGGAGACGAAGCTAACCAGATCGATAACAGTCCATGGAAAAAACTATAAAGTCATCGAACCTCTGAAGATTAGAAGCCTCCAATGGCTCATAGCCTATGTCTCTCTGCCAGTCAGCCAACCAGTGGATCCACATCCCAAGAAAACGGACAGACTCTAACAGCTCGCACCTATGCGTAGTACGCTCTGATCAAGAACAGGAAGATACGATACACTGTCTTATACGCTGCACCAAAGCAACAGAATATTGGGCCAGAGCAGCTGATCTTCAGTTCCACTTACTCTCCTCCCCTTTTTCCGGAACCGCCCATCCAGCTCCTTCTGTGGACTAACATCCCTGCGAACTTCCGCAAACCAGAACGTGTATGGTATGGACCGGCGAGGAAGGAGGCGATATTATGGGTAGTTTGACAAGAGAGATGCAGCATTACTCTCGAAGAAACGAGGAACTCCAGACAGAAGGTGTGGGCAGCAACCAAGAATCTTATTGAGGTGGAGAGCTTATGTGAATGGTGACAGATCAGACTACTAATCCAAAGTGACCCGGACTCAGAGTTCAAAAGAAAATTTCAATATACTTGGCTTGGCTAGGTAAAGGAAAGGTGGCAACGATCCTCCAAGGGCTACGCATCAGATGGAATGATAAGCACAATTCAGAGCCAGCAATAGCACGACATACCAGCGGCCAGCAAGAGGAAGTTCAGGATCAAACATGGACTTGAAAACTAGAGAAGGGCACTCAAGACTGGATTTGGCTACCAACCCGATCTGTACAGAGACTAGGGGTAGTAGGGGAAGCATCAGTGAGGAATGAGTATGAGAATGGCAAGCTGACAGTCAATGCTGCAGTTCTCGGGTCATCAATGCTGATCAGGGGTCCTCCAGCCAGACGGATTTAAGCATGAGCGAGTTGTATTGTCAATTTCATGACTTGCCGGTGGACAAGGAACTGGACCGACGCTCCCCTGAATGAATATGGAGACAGGCCCATAAGGACCAGTGTTTTTTTTTTTCCGTTTCTTTTCTTTAAGGCACTTGATCCCCTCAGCACAACCTGTCTAAACAAGCACAACTAATGTAACTGCGAGTGGAACCAACGTTTGCTAGTCCCACTGCTTTATAGCCACCTACATCAGCTTCCACTACTACCAATTCGTCCTTAGGACCTTCGGCCATAGTCACCCAGGAAGCCATGAGATCTTTCTGAGACCAAGCAAGGTCTAGCTCCTCTAAGGACTCAGTCGCATTGCGTGAACAGAGCAACACCTGGTCTGATTGTGACTGCGGGATGACTAAAGGGTCAGTATGACTCAGTAACCATAACCATACTATTCTGTGAGGTTGAGGGGTTATCTAGCCCGACGGGGACTCTATCTCCTACCTCTTTAGAATCTGTAGAGCGACAACTACTTCTACTGGCTCGTCTGGTTTCCCTGTTTGGCCTTGGGACATCACCTCTTGATGTGGCCCAATTCGCCGCTCTTCATGCATTACCCCCTCCAGTGTCAGTCCTCCCAAGGGTCAGTAGCCATAACCATCCTATTCTGCAAGGTCGAGGGATTATCTAGCCCGACGGGGACTCTTATCTCCTACCTCTTTAGAATCTGTACAGTGACAACTACTTCTACTGGCTCGTCTGGTTTTCCGGGGTTGGCCTTGGGACATCACCTCTCGATGTGGCCCAATTCGTTGAACTTCATGCATGCCCCCCTCCCGTGTCAGTCCTCCCAAGCGATCCTCTCAAGCCCCTCTTTTACCCATGGTGAGACTCTAGTGGGCTTGCTTTCTTTCTTGACCCTTGGCTGGTCCATTGGATGGACCAGCCCCCTTACCCTTCCACACAGTTGCAGCTCCTCCCTATCGACCAGTTTCCTCGCCGTGTCCTTGCTCTGCTTCTTCCTCGAGGACTGTGAGTTCGTCTACCTCCTCTTGATTCCCATATTGGTCTATAAAGAGTAGGTGACCCTTCTTCTTCCAGTCCTAGGGAAGCCTCTTCTTCATTCCCCCTATTCAAACCCCCTGCACCACACTAGCATTCCGCAGCTTAGCCTCATTGCAAAGGGCCATTGCACAAAGTCTAGGGCCATCTTGCAAAGGGATGTGAAGTTATTCAGTGGAGGTGGCCTCAGTGACAAGCAGTCCCTTGAACCACCAGTACCCCCGAAGCAGCCTTCCCGAATCTTTTTTGGGGGAAGCTATCGAACCTCTTTGTGCTTGGTGAATGGAGCTTGTCAGCGGTGGAGACATAGCGGGGAACCGATCCTTCATTACTCGCAACCAGTACTAATATATTGGTTGTTTCTTTTCTTTTCCCCTTTGTCTTTTTTTTTTTCCTTTTTTTCCCCGTCATCTAACATCCTTCTTCCTCGTTCATTCTTTTCAATTTTTTCTCCCTATGAGCAGCCTCTACTGTCAAAAGAGCCGTCGAAGGCAGGGGACCACATCAGCTTATGGGGCACCGTGGTTGAGGGCATATACACTCCACATCTTCTCTGCATCATCCCATGTTCTAACGGAAGATTCACTCACTCTGTTAGACGACGGGGCGTCACTCGACCACTCACCGCATGCACAAAAGGACAAAAACAATGACAACTATATCTTTCTTTTTTTTTTTTTGGTCAAATTCTAGACCATTTCTCAATCTGTGTGTGTCATCCTTGTGCAGGGCTATGCTTATCTTCTCTGCATCCACCCATGTTGTGATGGAAGATTCATTCTCGTTTTGGCCACACTAGGGCAGCGAGGGCTCATATTCGTTGGACGAGGGGCCTTGCTCAACCACTCACCACACGCACAAAAAGACAAAATCAATGACAACTGTTTTTTGTTTTTTTGTTTTCCTTCTCTAATTTGGACCATTTTTCAATTTATGCGTGTCATCCTTGAGCAGGGCCATGCTAAACTTCTTTGCAGCATCCTATGATATCGCAGCAGATTCATTCTCGCTTTTTCACATTTGGATTGCAGGGCAGCGAGGCCCCAGTTTGTTTCGTGACCCATAGCCCGCTGCTTGCGCCATGGTGAGAGCAAGTTTCTTTTTCAGAACTTTCACTTTTTGTTTTTCCCTTATTTGTGTTTCTATTTCTTCTTTATTTCGCTATTGTCTTCTCTGGTCACTCATTTTATAACGAGCAACTACCCACACGGGTTCCGCGCCTGTACCAAGCCTTTACCAGGACTACCCATGACTTCCATGAAGTCGGGAAGTCGAGAAATTTTGTGTGGGCAGGGTACTGGCGGTTTAATATGATTTGGGGGACACCGAAGTATCTTCGTGTCATACCACACGCGAGGCACTGTGATCGGTTTCTCTACCTTCTCAATGACAGACCGGAATGCCTATTACTTCTGAGCACCAAGATTCTTGAGCTCGTCAGTAGCCCTTTGGGCTTGCTGCCGATCATGCCACCTAGCTGCAATATCACGCCCATAGCCTGACGCTGCTATTACGCCATCCAACCATCTTGCTGCAGAGCCCTGCAGAAAGGATGCAGCAATAATAAACTCCTAGCCTACATGTGTGTCCTTTGTCCGTACATACGCAGGCACAGACCGAAGTCACGTGTCCAGGTTCTCATCTTGACGAAAGGACAAGTCTCTAGTCCTAGAGGGGGTCTGAGAACAGTCCTAGGGTCCACAGGTATAGATAGGGTCCAAGGTCAATCAAGGCCATTTGTGCCTCTGCGTGAGACAGTTGATCCTCGGAAAATCAAGAGTCAGACCCAACCTGGGAAACACACAAACTAAGAGTCGGAGATTTGCTAGGAGTCAACCATGGTCATAAGTAAGGTGCACAATCAATGGATGTCTGGCATTTGTTCCCAAAGATTCCCGTACGTACCTACTGGCTCTTGGCACACTGAGGCCGACAGCAAATCTGTCTACCAATCCCATCATAAGGGATTTGAACCTGCGACCATTAGGTTAAAAGCCCAATGCTCTACCAACTAACCTATACACCGAGAAACCAGATATAGGCTTAGTAGGATTTGAACCTACAATATCACCGTTATGAGCGGTGCGTTTGAACCAA